GAATCTCTACGTTCTGTGCACTGCTCATTTGTGATACTGATTCTGGCTATCTAAACGATGGATAGGAGAGATTTTTCTAACATACTAACTGAAGAGATAAACCAGTGTTGTCCAAACTACATACACTGGCACATGCATTCACAATATTTAGGATGAGACTGTTAATGGAAACAGCCAATGCAAAGGGCATTCAAAATGTATGAGCATCTATGAAAGAAGAGGTCAGAAAGAAAGCCAAAACTCATTCTAAACTGCACCCTCCATTTACATGTACTTATTTTGATACAATACACTAATGCCAAGGTGAGTAAAGGCTAGCCTCTACGAGGGAAAGTTTCATTAGTTAAATATTCAAAATATTCTAGCTGTCCTGGTACACTTCCCTGTGTGGACACTATTGTATCTGAATAAGATTGTCCTAAGGGAGCGTATTCTGGTATAAATACAGCACACGCTCCCTTATGCCAGTGTCACTTCTTCATGTAGGCAAGCACTAAGTAATGGATAAATATATTAAGAAAAAGGCCCTGAACATTAAATGGAAAAGCCAGAAGCATCAAAAAGTCATTTATAGATGTCATGCCCATGAGCTACAAATGCTACATTCACTGCTAGCAGCGTAATAAAATTCATAGATTCATAGATGTTTGGGTTGAAAGGGACCTTAGCTGATCATTGAGTCCGAGCCCCTGTCTTGGGCAGGAAAGAGCACTGGGGTCAGATGACCCCTGCCAGGTGCATGTCTAGCCTCCTCTTAAAGACCCCCAAGGTAGGGGAGAGCAAAGAAAAATCCCAAAGAAAACAGAACTATCGGCACATGGTATGCCTTTATGTACTTTTGATTAGCTAGGTTGTTACGCATCCATTAATTCATGCTAATAGGTATGCGAACTAATCTTTGGACCTACTGACATGTCATTTAACTACACAGAAATTTAATACACTGTGTGAAGGGCATGGTTCTTCGCTGGTGAACACTCAACAGTCTCATGAAAATTGTGATGGTGAAGATGCTCAGCATCTTTTGTGACTGGTCTTCACGGTAAGAAGCAGAAGGGTGACATTTAAAGTTAGCTTTGGAGAATCTTTAAAGGGATTCAGTCTCAAGCATTCAAATGAGACCCTTGACCTCAGGGTACTATCAACTTCCTGCAAGTGGCCAAAGCAATCAAAATCTAATAACCTAACTGCCAACAGAAAGTCTTGCCCTTTCATGTTAAAAGCATAGAAGAGTCAATACCAACCAGTGAGTTTTGGCAGATCAGTTTTTACTCCTGTCAAGAGGCATTATGGTGGCATCTTCCAACTTCATGGAGTTGGGAAAAGGTCAAGTAGAGATGACTTGTATATAACATCTCTGTTTTGTATGAGTAAATATTTTAATCAAATCAGATCTTGATTTGCTAGGCTGCACTTTCAAAAATAGGGTCTGTATTATACTTGAAAGGTGCATGTGTGCACAAAAACTTGCAGTAGTATTTTGTGCATGTAAATATCATTTTTTGTGCCAAACTAATACAGCTTTTGCCTGTACCTGTTTGTAAGCAGGTTGCCTAGCCTGCTGGCTTCTGCAGGCAGGTTTTACCCTCTGAGGAACTCCTCAGCTAGTTCTCCCAAATAAAACAGTCCTAAGCAACAAACAAGCAAATAAATAAACTGAACATTTTTTTTGCCCTGTCCCAGGCACTGAGACCTTTTGGCTCTGATCCCAGCACATCAGAGTGGACTCTCCATATACCAAACTGTTCTGCTCACAGTTCACTTCCTCCTCCTCCCTTGCTTGCTCTTCTGGGAGCTTTTTATAGCTTCTAGTGGCATACTGTCTATTCATCCAAAAGCCCTGTAGTTGGACTGTCTTAAAGGGACAGGCTGCCCTGTTACACTATTTTGGAGAAACACATTAGGTACCTATTTTAGACAAAGTTAATTCTATGTATGTAGTGACTGTGACTAGAAAATATATACTCAAATTCACATATTCAGACAATCCTAGCCATGTGTGTAGTGGACCTTGTTGGCATGTGCTAATCTGTACACCTAGGGGATATATGGTGTTCAAGGTGATTTATTTCCTAAGTCAGTTGGAAATTAGGATGGAACTGAGTGTGGCCAATTAGTCTGGAAGGACTGCCATGCTGTCTCCGCTGTACTGCTTCTAGTATGCAAGCCAGCTCATTAAGAGATAGTTTGGGTATTTTCACTTAGCATTGTATTGTCCCATGTACACAAACTCTTAAGTGCCTGACAGTGAGGGTTGGATAGCAAAAGAAATTTGAAAAAAACCCCACATTTTTGTTCTTTTGCTGAAAATCTATTATTTTTGCTTATTTTTTTTCCTGACTCTGTTTAGTAATATCCTGTTTGACATGCATGGAAGTCAAGGTTGTTGACTACTTATGAATGGTATTCTGTGCCTCTTAGAAGGCAGAAGGATTATTTATTAGGACAAGTCAGAAAAACACAGTGTTCCTTTTGCTGAATTTTGTTACTCAGGGGCGGGGTGCATCTACACATGCAATTAATTTGAAACAATAAACTCCAGAGCATTTTGAGCCAGCGTAAACTACTCCTGGGCACAGCAGCTACACATGCACCCAGGACATCAGCAATCTGAGCCAGGGCAGAGAAGTTTATGCCAGGGCTGAGGGCATGGGGAGAGGGGGCAACTGGGGGCAACCCTGGGCTCCAGGGGGTGGCTTTGGGGCTGGCTGGGGCATAAGGATGCTGGAAGTGCAGAGCCATATGTCAAGGCAGCAGGCAGAAGTCTGCCCTTGCTGGCTGAGCTGACTGGGAGAAATTTACACTATGGTCAGTGTTTACATGTGCATTTGATTGCGGTTAATTACCCCACCGTAAGATAGTACTGTCCCTGACAGCAGTATCTTATGGCAGCATTAGTTTACTGCAGCCTAACAATGTTGCCTCTGTAGACAGTGATGCTTTATTCAGCAGCTAATTAGTCTTTTCCGCAGTTAAGTGCAAATGTAGATGCAGCCAGGGTGTTCAGATTGCACTGCTTGCTAAAAAAAAAGGGCCAGTCTTGTTTATCTGGAAAGCTAAATGTGAAACACCCCAATCTGGGTTATCATTCACCTCAATCATAGAGAGAAAATAGATAAGAGCTTGGAAAGATATTAGAACTCTCTGTCTCTTGAACCAAGTGGACTGTGATCATGACCAATTTTCCTAGCACATCTTTTCAGGAAAATGGAGGGGTAGTACTCCTTGCCTAGCTGCCTGCCTTTTCATGGAAGTGAAGCACCATTGGCATGACCTGACTCACTTTGATCTGGAAAGAGGTGAAAAGCATGCCTCTCACTTCCTTCCCCAAGCAGCTACTTTTATAGATCTTTTTATAGAATTGGGAAACCTGACTGGAACTTAGTGGCTGGTCCTGCCTTATTGTTATTCTCTCTACCAATCTGTAGTATTTATAAGTCATCTATCTTAATAGTATCTAAGAAATAGTCCTGACAGAAATTAATTTGCTTGTGAGCAACTAGGTGAGGCCCTTATAGTTTGTTATGTCTCCTTTTAGGGAATTTGCTCCTAATCCTAATGGATTGCAACAGCTAGGTTAAATTAATTTAATGCAGGACATTAAGCAAACATTTTAATTGTGGGGGTTCCTGCACTTTTCTCACAGAATGAGTCATAATCTTATTGTCAAAATTGTTTCCTGGACACCTTGTGGTTGCACAAACGAACAAGGGTGTGTGACTAGACAAACAGAGAACACACCTTTTGATGGAACTGTCTCTCGATGCTGTGATTAATGTGTCATATGCACAACATATATAATGGCTGTTTACCTTAAAGGCAAAGAAGTGATCCACATATTTTTTACCAAAAACAAATTCTGCACCAGCATCCGAGTATCCCAGGAAAGCCTAATGAGAAAAAAAAAGAGCCTGTTTCAAACAGGTGATAATAACAATAGTAATAATACTATTCATATATTACACAGATTTTATAATCATAATGGGCAAGATTGGCTTTAGTCCTATTGCAGTTGATAGTGGGGAGTTGCAAAGAGTCTTTCTGTTCTGCATCCATGCCAGTGTCAAACTCCACTGCAATCCCCCTGTTTACGAGAGTCTGGGATCTGCGGCCTGCATCCTCATTGAGTCATAGTAGGCAGGTAAAGAGCATGGTCACAGGTCACAGTTCATGCTTCAGTGCCAGATCATTGTGTTCGCCAGTTGTGGAAAGGGACATATGGTGCATCGCTCCAAAACTTCCTTTGGTGTGGGGCAGAACCACACTGCCATACATTCATTATGATTATTATTTGTACTAAATAAACCTGGGGACTCAGAACTGGGAAGTGGACAATATGTAGTAAGAGGCACTCCCTGCCTGTGAATGTAGCTAAATGTCACACACAATCCCACAGGAACTGTTTATTTTTCATTGCTCTGAAGACGCTATTGTGATGCATTCCTACGCTTTTGTTGGCACAACTCTGTAGTGCAACTCTGAGAAATATGTTATTAATATGTACGGTGAAACCTGAGGGCTAAACAAGCATTTCCCAAAAGAATGGCCATGTACCATGTGGAAACCAGTGAAGGAGCAGCTCAGCAGAGCCTCAACCCAAATCTGAGCTCTGAGGAAAAGCTAATAGTTTGTATTAAAACCATTAGCTTCGTGGCCACAGCGTAGGCCCATTATAATTTTAAAATGCTTTTTATGTTGCAGTTTATTTTTATACATTTAAATTGGTCATCTGCACATTTTAAGAGCTGTCAGGTGAGTGCCTTTGTGTCAAAACTGATTATTACCCTTCATGAACAGACGGTTTTTGTTGGCTTGCAGGTTGGCCCTAGGGATGCAGCCTCCACTCCAGCAATGGCAGAGAGTCCTGGTTCTCTCTGTGGGCAGGTCCTTTCTTGTACAGTTTTGCCTTCTTTCCACCAATGCTTGCATTTTATTGTTGCTCTGACAACCATGGAAATCCATATGGGTGAGGAGTGTAGACATCTATGCCAGAATGACAGTGGCTACAGTTATTGTGTCTGTCTAAATCTTCTGTTCCCTGGCATTTTAGGGGAGTTTCCTGTAAGTATGTTTTAGAATTGGGCCATGTCCAGTTGAACTTTAGGTAATAGACCAGGATGATAGTTTTCTCTTGCCTGGAGATCAGGTGGGCTGTGGTTTCAGCCTAAAGGAGGTGATGGTCAACCAAAAGTAGAACGAATTCTCACCATTTCTTATTAGGTCTTACCTTCAGCATTTAACAACATGGTCATCTGAAGCCAGTAAGCAAAGATGTGATCTGATGTGACCTAGATCTGATCATCAAGTAAGTTATCTCCAGGAGTACTCTACTTCACTTAGGAAATCAAGGTATTAAGGAACCAATTGGCAAAACTTGCACTGATTTTTTGGGGCCCTGGGTTGTTAGAACATAAAACTACTTCTCATGACAAGGGAAGCACATTATTTAGGGGCAGGAGGAGGACAAGCCTCTTATTGTGTGGTTTACTTTGACTGTAACATAAAACTTCATTGCAGAAAATGATATAAAAGGAAAGACTCCCTCTTTGGTGAATACTTTACCTGTACCTGCCTACCCAGCCAATTAAATACTTCGAATCCTGCTTTAGTCCTCAGCGTAATAAGCCCAAGAACAAACTGCACGACTATGCCTGAAAATACAGGTCTCCAGGCAACCTAGCCAAAGAAAAAAAGTATAAAAGCAGAAATCATTTGAGAGGAAAAAGAAAAAACAGTATTTTAATATACACACAATATGTATAATAAAGGGATACATGTAATTGTATTGAAATAGATCAGGGGCTGCCCAAATTATGTGGAAAGAGATTTCATTCCTTTTAATTCCCCCTGATGACCTTCTGTTTAGTATGGGCATGTGAACTAACAAGTCCCAGACATGATGTTCCATCCGGATCTAAGGTACAGAAAGAAAGTTGCATTGGGGACCCTTAGAAACACACACCAAGAACATCAGTAAGACAGGAGACTGCCTGTTTAGTTTTACAGTGCAGAGAAGTAACCGTGATGTAAATACAGGAGACAACTATAGCTAATTCCATCATGCTCCTCTTTCCTCACAGGAATGATTACATATCAGTAGCTCTTAATATAACAACACGAGCCTTGTTCATAGAAATTGGACAAAGCAGTAGGTTGGGAACACAAGGATTGTGCTATTGTCTCATTGTATGACCTGGTAAGTCATTTCAATTCACAATATCAGTTTCCTTACTTGTCAAGCAGGAAGAACGATACTTAGGTAAGAAGGCCTGCATATGTGTTAAATATTGTGACTATTATAATACAAAAACATTCTTTATTTTCATTCCAGCTGGAAACTGGAGTGGCTGACTATAACCATCCTCCTTCTGCCAACCTGCAGGTTTCCACTTTGCTGTCCCAGTCTGTAAGTGGCAAATCTGATCAGTTTACAAGAGAATGTAAGGTGAGGTGCAGCCTTGCTGATTTTCTCTCACTTTACTTGAATAAAATTGGCCAATGAAGCTCAATGAAGACCCAAGGGAGAACACCAGATGAGTGGCACTTTTTAGTTTTCAGTTTGTTTTTTTGATAATAGTGCTCCGGATGGGACATGAGGGCAGCAGTGCCCCTGTCCAGCTGGCCAGACACAGGGGTGAGGGGAAGCTCGCATGTGGCTGCTGCCACCCCACAATGCTGCTGCTCCACATCTGGCCAGATGCAACCCCCCCTGCATCTGGCCACACACCACCCCCTCTTCACCCCACCGCTCTGCATCTGGCCAGTGGGGGTACACTTATTAAGAAAGGTTGAAAACCCCTGCGTTGGGGGATTACCATGTCATTTCAATAAAAACACCAGCACTAGGCACAAAAGCAACATTAAACATTGAGCTGGGTTCTGTGGCAAGCAGAGCATAACCTTTTAATAAAATTACTACAATGTACTGAATGCGTTTCCTTGGAAAACAAACAATCATTTCTGTTTAAAAACACAGTGATGGGGGAGGTAACATGTATTGAAAGACATCATCAACTAGTTGCCTGTCTGTGCTAAGAAGATTATTTTTCCTCCGCCATGATTTCATTGGTAGCTTCTGGGTATTTTTCTTGCTGCCTTCTGAAGCTCAGGACAGGCAGGGCTGGATGTTTGGCTTGATGGTACTTTGAAACTTCTAAGGTGCCTTTGTGGTGGGTGGGACTTATGCATATATAATCAAATTTACTGCCAAATTCCGGCATAGGAACAGGTCAGACTGGCAAGGACTATTGGGTTTTTTTCTTGCTTTTCCTTTTAGTGTGGGGCTGGGTACTTTTCTTTAGATCATCTGGACAGAGCTTAACCTAAGTAATTTCCTGCATGTGGTGAGGCATTGGCAGTACTTTGCCATCCCTTGCTCTTTATCTATGGTATATTGTAGGGCTTTCTTATAGGGGGCTTTGTGGCTATGACATGTGAGAGGGGCTGGAGTAGATGGATTTTTCGATCCTTTTGAACAAATGGTTCTTTGCAAACACAAGGGACTAGATTTGATGGTTCAGGAGGTCCCTTTCAGCAGTAGCATAACTACGAATGAATGAGGGGGGCACAAGCCCTGGGTACTGGGACAGAGGCAGGAGGTTGCCAGAATGCACACAGAGGGGCTTGAGGCTCTAGCACAGATGTGGGCAACTATTTTGGGCTGAGTTTTGGCAAGCCATCGTGGGCTGCATGATAGGCAGCCGGGGCAGATAAATATTAATTTTCTAACTTTTGTAGGGGCCCCCTGGGCCAGATAGAATGGCCTGGCGGGCTGCACCTGGCCCACGGGCCGCATTTTGCTTACCCCTGCTCTAGCACCTATGGGGTTTTGCTGCATAGAATGGGGCATGGAGCCAAGGGGCAGAGGCAGAAGGGCTTGAGGGTCCTGGCAGCTATGGGGTCCAGCTGTGTGCCTGCCCTACACTTCAGATACAATTGAACTAAGAGTTTTATATTGTTGCTCAGCACATGATTTGGCAGCAAGTGCTGGGGACGGCAAGCAAGAAACTTAACTCCTTGGCTGGGGGACACCTTTCCCTACTCTGTGCAGAGCTGCCAGGAACCTTGAGCCCCTTGCCTCAGCTCCTGGCTCCTACCTCTGCTCCACAAAGCTGAGCTTATAGCTGCCAGGACCCTCAAGCCCCCTACCTTGGAGGTCCTTCATATCACCCAAAGCCTGCAGTTACCCAGGGTGCAAACCTTTCCAGGTATGCCTTTGCCTTTCCATCCTGTGTTCTTCTAGCCTCTCCTGAAAGCCCCTGAACTGGAACTGTGCATTCTCACAAGTTCCTCCCTGAAGTGATTGCTACCAGGTGCCCCTATATACTTGGAACCTGCCTGCTGGAAAAACGGCATTAGGTCAATTCCTAGGGCTTACATTCCTTTTGTACTCTCTCCCTAAATACGACATATTTTAGGTCCATTTCTACAGGAGCTTTACCTGATTGAGACCCAAATATAAGCTGAATAAGGACTTCAGGCTGCACCCCATTGCTTTTAAATTTTTAGGAGACACTGAAATCATTAAAAGGTTTTTATCCCATCTGTCCAATAATATTCCCTGGCAAAAAGTGTACAAGCAGGCTGGAAAAGGGTAACTTGCTGTTGTCTTCAGCTCCCTGAAGCTTTGAGTCTTGTCTTGTTCAGTGACTTTTAGTTCAAATTAATAGTGATGAAGAAGGACCTGAAAGATGCTGGAAATTAAACCAGATAAACCTTGGATTTTCTTTTTTCCTCCCCTACACATGATTCTTCAACCCACACTCAACCTTTTTTAATTCAGACTGAGTAATTCTTATTGTGTGCAGGCATTTTCATGGACTTTATGAAATATTCATTGACTTCAGTTGAATGAAGAGCAGGAGTAAATATCACTCCATATAAGCAGGGGTTATAAAAACAAGCCTATCATGATTGCTGGATGTCAGGATATTGATTATGGGGTTTTTTTTTAAAGTGAAAGTGTGCAGGGTTCTTCTTCATTCATGCACATGGCCCTAAGTATTTCTCTACATTTCTTCATAAAAGCAAAATAAAAAACAAAAAAGAACAGATCCCAAATTCCCCTTCCCTCCTCCTCCCCCTGTTTTTAAAAAAGAATATTATTGCTGAAAATCAAACACTCAGTAGTTAGGAAATTAAGGTTGCTGGTACAAAACCTACAGCTGCTGGTTTAGAACATTTAGTTCAGTGGTTCTCAACCTTTTTGGGCTCTGGCACCCCTCATTAGACTCAAGACCCCACTCAGAAAATACCAACTCTTAGTTTTCAATCATTTTTTGACAACAGAAAACTAATGAAGTAAATTTTCTGTTGCAAAGAAATCAGAAAGACCACAACAGGTCAAAAGTTTTTAACACTATTTATCCCCATTTGAAATCTATGGCTGCCTATAGACATGCCCATTAGCATTCTAATCCAATGGGTTGGAGCAGACTCAATTCATCGTGTCTGCTCTACGTTCCAACTAGAACACTCCAGCGTTGCTTCAATGTTGTGTGCATTAAGCCCCCCCATTTCAAAATGGCCATGGGGGCGCTTTAATTAAAGCTTGTTGAATGAAATTTAGTTAAAGTGTCCCCTTGGCCATTTTGAAATGTGGGAAGGGCTTAGTATATGTGACAGTGAGCCTTTTTAATAATAGTGGCTGTTCAGGAACCACTCTAATTAAAACAACTCCCACCCCACTTCCAAGCACATGTATAGACAGCCTATGGGTTTATCTTGTGAATTGTGCTTGCACACCTAATAGTGCTCATACTGTATGGCCCATGTGGCACCCTGGTTGAGAATCACAGATTTAGCTCATTATGTGTGTATGCAGCAGACCTAGTTATACTGTCAGATCTGCTAAGAGAAAATTCTTGATATCTAGACAAGGTAAAAGGAAATCATTGAGTACTTACTCTGGTTGGGTATTTGGAAAAGATTAGCATCACTAGAACATACATCACAAGCCCACCAAATGAGATGAGCTGATTGGTTCCTTGTTTTGCTGTGTCAAATATGAGCCAACAAATGACAGCTGCAATAAGAACTATGCCAAGCAGCCTAACAGAAAGGAAACATGATAGTTGTAATGTTATAACAAAACTCTGCTAAAAAATAACAACCAGATACACCAATTCATATTACATTTTCATATTTATGTGAGATATTCCCATCCCATGTCAAACCCTTAAATATACATCCTTAAGAATAACAGGTGACTATCTTCAGATAACATGACTCTGGTGAGACATGACTATAATAAAATTTACCAGCTACTAACACCAGAATCCATCTACAAACACTCCCCTAAAATGTATGGAAAGTACCATGATATTTTTACAGTTTTTGTTCCCCTTAAAATATTCTGTCAAGTTTTCAGTTTTTTTCTTTACCTTCCTTTGTCCTTCCCTCTTTCCCCTGTTAGCATATCTTCTGTTTTGTTACTGTAACACCAATCCTAACGTATTTTCTAGGGTGCTGTAACGTTTTGCAGCTTTACCAAAGTATAAAATTGCATCAGTTTATTGGAAATTCTGTAAGGCATGAGGCACTTGCAGACACAGAAAAATAGTGATTCATTTTTTGTACTTTTGTCTATTTTTTAGTGGGGGGGGGATCAATAAAATGAATCTCTGTTCCCCCAGATTTGGGCTAGTTCTGATGTATTTAAAAAATAGTAAGTAGCAGTATGAATTTCTCTCTCTTCTGTATTTAGCAGGGCACCATTAATGTCATATTTGTGCAACTCCCAATCCTGTAATTAAATTTTCCTCACAGCACACCTGAGAGAGAAGGAAGTGTCTCCAACTGAGGCTTGTCTAATGCCTAGGGGTTAGGGCACTCTTTCAGGAAATGGGTGGTGTAGGCTTGAATCTCCTGAGTTTGAGGAAGGTCTTTAACTTCCACTTGGGTGAGTGCTCTAAGATATTATGTACAAAGTGGACACAGATACCTCTTTCTCCTCTAACTTTTCAAATAGAAGTGGCCAGGCCTCCTGTGTTGTGTGCAGAACTCAGTGTTGTTGCTTTGTGTAAGGTGTACCCTATAACCACCTTCTGGATTAGCTGCCTCAAAGATCTTAAGTGCAGGGTCATTTAGTGGGTGAATCCCAAATAGACTTAGGTATAAGGGCCAAGGTGCTCAACTCAGCCAAGTTGGCAACAATTCTGGGCAAGTACAGTAGCAGAATTATGGGTACCTAAGTAAGTTTTGTGGCAAAAACTTGGGGGCCTTTGGCCATCTAGTTGTCTAGATGGTTAGGTAAAACTTAGGTGCCTAAATTCCACCATGCCACATATGAACACATGAAGGAAAGAGGAGGAAGAGGTAAACTTGCTCTTCAAAAATAGATTTGAATAAGTACAATGACTCATCTTAGAAATTATTTTTAAATGGAAAATGGTGAACTGCTTCACAAGAAAGACAGTTTGTCCATTTATAGGACTTGGGAATTCCTGGGAACTCTTATGCTAAAGTGCAAACAGTCAAAAAGCCCACGGTTGAATTGATTCAATTTTTGCAGGTTAGTCTGTGCTGCATAGACTGAATTGATAAGCAAGTGAACAGATATTCACTTTTGATTCTGGAAATGCAGTCACATGCCTGCAGTGACCCAGGTCAGAAGCTGGGGGGGGACTAGCCAACTCTCTGGTTGGCTGGAACAAACAGCTTGAACCAAAGCTAGCCCACCCACCCCAA